AACAACTTTGACATTCTGGGCTCCTTGACCACCTTCCCTGAGGCCTTAGATGCCCAGTGCCCCATCCCTTTCTCTCCTTCTGGCCCCAGCAGAGCCTGAGGGCCTTCGGCCACATGTCCTACTACAGGACAGTGGGCAGGACCCAGGCAGAAGACAACACCGGATCTGGTGCCAGGAGGCTGCTTAATCACCCAGCTCCCTCCTCTGCACCCAGAACCCCTGTCCGCAAACCCCTAAACAGGGAAGGCCCAGGAGCCATCTCATCCAACCCTTCCCTTCTTCCGGGATGCATCCTGCAGTTCTCCAAGGGGAGAGATTACCCCCTCATTACCCCATCTGCTCCCTCAGAACACACTACAGTTTCTATCCCCAGGCACTGATTGTGGACATCCTTCCTTATCCCTAGCCTGCATCTTCCCTCCTCCCCCTTTTCTCTTGGTCTGCCCTAGTGGGCCCCCCCACAATCCTGATGTCTCTTTCCTCCAGATCAGGTCGTGGCCTGCCCGGCCCCCTAAGAGGTCTGGGCACAAGCCTCCCTTGCTGCCTCGGCTGTTCTCTGCCTCTGGAGTCCTTCAGATGCCACCTGGCAGTTCTCAGGAACCAAGCTGTGAGGTTCCACTCCTGGCCACCAGAGACTCGATCTGGGGTGCTGAAGGCAAGGACCCCAAGACGTTTCCCCCATGTCAGGCCACAGGCCCACAGAGGGCAGAGGCCCCACAGCCTGGGTCAGTGGGACAGACCAGCCGGGCCAGGGGACAGGGCCGAGGCGGGTGCTGTGTGGTGGGCGCTGGCAGGCCCCTACCCCAGTGATAAGAGTCCTGAATGCTCCCTGCCCAGACAGCGTAGCTGGGGCCTCCAGCAGACCCCACCCCATCCAAAGTCTGGGGCCCTCTGGGTCAGAGAAGGGGTCCTTGTGGAAGGGAAGCTTTTACCCCCCACCCCTAGGCCCAGTGCACCCAGACCACCAGCGTACATCCACACCCCCTTCTCAGCAAAGCCAGCATCTCTAAGCCACCACCTCCTCCCATGGCCCGCCCTCAACTCTCCTCCGCACCCCTCACCCCTTGTGGACCCTCCCCTTCCCCCCTTCCCCCCCCCCAGCTGGAGGCAGG